CACCAGAGCACCACGAGTGCTCGTACAGCCGTGCCAGGGATCCCGCAATAACCTCAGCCAATTCCCTCAGTACTCGGGGGTGGAGATCGTCTGGACCAGCTGATTTAAATACATCCAGTCCCTCCAGACGTTCCCTGACTAGATCCTCACTGACCCTTGGCCTGGGTGCGCCTCCCCTAGGGCCTGAGGTGGGCCCGGTCGGGGGGCTGATCTGGTCCCTGCTCAGGAAAATGGAGGCAAAGAAGTCATTAAATAGGTTAAGCTTTGTCATCTGGTGTGACGACCAGGTTTCCTAGTGTGTCTTGCAGGGGCCCCACATTACCTGGTACCTTCTTTTTGCCCCCTCTGTATTTAAAAAAGGACTTCTTGTTGTCCTTGATCTGGGTCGCTAGTCCCAGTCCCATCTCCGCCTTGGCCTTCCTGACCCCCCCCCTGCATCCCCGAGCAACCGCAGTGCAGTCCTCCCTGGGGATGGCCCCTCCCTGCCATCGGGTGTGCACCTCCCTTTTAGCTAAGAGACATTCCCGGGTGCTTTTGGTGAGCTTCGGGGGCTTTTGCGCCGTCTTGCTCCCTTTGATCCGTGTTGGGATCACCTCCCTTTGGGCTTGGAGGATTGTCTCCTTTAGGAGTGACTGCTCTTCTTGGACACATGGCTCCCCTCCCCTCCGGGACCTTAGTGCTTCCCCGACTACTCTTCTTAGTTCGTTGAAGTCTGCCCTCCTGAAATGTAAGGCTGCATCCTGTTCTGTTCTGCTCACTTTTCCAACCTGTCCAGATCTGCCTGGATTCATTCCCTGCCCACTAGTGTGTTTACTTTACCCCATAATTTGGTATCATCTGTGAATTTGGACAGAGTGCTTGCTTTCCACACCCTCGTCCAGGTCACTGATGAAGACATTGAACAGCACCGCCTTGCGGGACTCTGCTGTCCACTTCTTTCCAGGTCGATACCAACCTTTCCACCATCAGTCTCTAGGTGCGACCCCATAAACCAATTTGCAACTCACCTGACCATGTAATCATCTATGTCAGAGTCACTCAGTTTATCTATGGGAATGTGATGAGATACCATATCGAAGGCCTTCTTGAAATTCAAGTAAATGACATCTACCTTGACTCCTGCGTCCAAGCATTTTGTGACCTGGTCGTAAAAAAAAACAAGGTTAGTCAGGCAGGTTTTACCTGCTATGAATCCGGGATGGTTGCCCTTCAGCATTGTTTTTCCTGCTGGACTCCCGCAAGTGTGATCCTTAATAATTTTTTCAAATGTGTCCCCACAAGTAACTGGGTATTCTTGTCTTTGATAGGTTTTCAGTGTGTCTTCATTCTGGTACTGTGTGGTTGTTTGCTTTCTCCTACATATTTTCCCTCGGGGCATTTGGCACACTGGATGACATATGTAACGTTTCTGGAGATGCAGGTGTAAGATCCAGGAATGGTGATGGTTCTGTTGTGGGGTGTAGTTATAGTGGGGGTGGTGGAGATGTGTTGGCAGGTTTTGCATTTCTTGTCATGGCACGGTCTGGATCCATTCAGTGTGTTCTGGGGCATAGGAAGTTTGCTTCAGCAGTTCTTCACATGGTATCCCAGTGGCTCTTTCAAAAGTGTGATCTCTGTCTAGAGGAGTGTCCTTGTTGAGTGAAATCCCTTTTGAGATTTACGAGGTGATGATCACTGGTGTTCTCCTCAGTGCAAATTCGGTGGTATTGGAGGGCATGGCTGTATATTACAGCTTTCTTGGTGTGTTCAAGGTGATTGCTGGTTTTGTTCAGATATGTACGTTGGTCTGTGAATGTCATGTATTATATGGTGGTCTATATTTTACCATTCTGGATTCTGATCATAGTGTCTAAAAAGGAAATGTTGGTTCTGGAGTATTCAAGAGATAGTCTGATGGAGGGGTGATGATTACTGAATTTCTGATGGAAATCAATCATGGACTAAATATAGACATTGTATTTATGGCACATTATAACCTGCCTAACTTCTGATACACCAGGTAATCTCTACTATTGACCAGCTATATCTTATCCCCAGGTCTACATGCCCATTCTACCCCACACCTGTTTCTCACCAACTGAGTGTCTCAATTTGCATTTTCACTGATTGGTATTCTTGCATATTGGCATCTGGCTTCTATTCCATTCCATCCAGGAAGAGCGCAGAACAACTGCAGACTTCCTCAGCCTGAAGAAGGGTGTTTGTACCCAAAAGCTTGCAAAGAAGGATTTTTCCAACTATTTGAGTTTGTCTAATAAAAGATATCGGAGTGACCCAAAGAACCTTGTCTGCCTGTGTCCTTAGACCAACATGGCTACAACCGACACCCCTGAAATGTAGCAATCTCACTTTAAACTATGGATTTTAAATGAGCTAGGAGATCATACTTGTCCACAACAATTGGTTGCTCTGTGTTGGTATCCTCTAACACTATGTAAAATTACCAGGACTTCAAACTGGGAGTGAATTTGCACAGTGGTTCTGAACAAAAATTCTGTGTTTTGAGATGTGTGTGTGACATGATATCATTCTGAGTCAATCCTGGGATCCAGCAATTGGCCAGTAAAGGTGGGTTACTAGTGCATGTTAAAAATCTTGTTAGAGAATTGTTTACAAGTGACTAGAAACAAGTATAAGTGTCCTTGAGATGTGGATTTTTTCCATTAAAACAAAAAAAAGAACTTGGTCTCAGTGGTTATCCTTTCAGATGAACCTGAACAATGTCCTTTTTGTTTTCTGTACTTGAGTATCCCACTGTTTGAAAGCTGGTTTCTGATATTTGAACTGCGCCGGTGCATTTAGAAATCCAAGAAATATAACTAGCTCAGTAACAGTTCAAATTACTTTGGGTGCCTGTGGTCTCCTCCACATTTCCCCAGAATGCATTAAATGGGATCTCACTTGCTTTTGCGTAACTTTTATATGCATTGCTTATAATAGAAGTTGTTACTAAGTGCTCCTTCCGTTGATCCCACTCTAGTTCCAAATGCCTATCTCTAAAGAAGTAGAGGTGATCACTTCTAGAAAGCGATAATATGACTGTCTTGTTTCATTTCAGTGCTTTATGGTAACACACCAATTAAAATATGCTTGACCAGAATTCCCCAACAGTTTCTGTAACATTGTTTGAATCTTGGCAACTGCCAAACTTCTTTGCTTTGCTTACAGCAGCCACTGCTATATGCGCATCATCAGAAATTGATCCCTGCTGTGAGAGTCTGCACACTAGGAAATGGAAAAGTCTCTTCATAAAACTAAAATTAAATGCAGGAAGCATCAAGCAATATGACCCTTTTGTCTGTATGCCATGCTAATCTGAATTCATGCCCCTGTATCAAAGTGTAACAAGAGACTCGGCTTAGTGGATGATGTTGCATACTTCACAACCACCTTGTGTGAGAATATCCTTGGGTTTGAGGCACTAAAGCAAAACAGTATGCTCAGACTACAATAAATCCTTCCATTTACCTTTATAATGCTTTGAAGGGGTACTTATGTTTCCCCATACCTCTAGCAGTTTTGTTTTTTAAACTGCAGTTCTTTGACGGATATGTTCAGACTTTAAATTCAAGATTCCATTAATTACATGCAGCCTAAAACAAGTGAGCCTACATAACAGCCAGCGTTCTTCTTGATTTGTTTCATTTCTTTGCCAGGGATTTTTAAAACCAGCTATCATATGTTTGCATCTAGGCCAACTGATACTATACCTATGGTTAGTTTGGTGTGACAAAAGAGATTCTTGAATCATTGACCATGTTGCTTACTTTGTTGTCTTGTGTTTTCATTTTGCTTAGGGCTCACCAGTAAAGCCAGTGCCCATCAGAGAATTTCAGAGAGCAGAGGACACAAGGCGATACTTGCATCAAAATAGGTAAGAGAACCTGAGAAGTGTTTTTTATTTCTTATTATAACTGGTTGGAAGATTTTGAGCAAAACAGAGGTTCATTGAAACATGTCAAATCCTAGATCCCCAAATATATGGCCCCAAACATCTCAAGTTTAGCAAAATCAAATCAAAAGCAGTTAAAGCAAATCAAAAGCAGGCTTCTCACAGAACCCTGTCTGGATTCATGGCAGGCTGGTGGGGATACTGATGCTTCCTAGGATGTAGCTCCAGAGAAGCCATGTTAGGCTAACTGCACTGGCTCCAGGAACTCCAGGCTTCCAGTCTCCCTAGCCTACTGGGACCTGACAGCCCCCAACTATAGGGTAAAATGGTGAAACCCTTGGGTGCAGCATATGGTTTTGCAAGTACCTTCTTTTAGTTAAGAGTGCAGCTTGAGAGGGTGCAGAGGAGAGCCACGCACATGATCAGAGGTCAGGAAAACAGACCTTATGATGAGAGGCTGAGAGCCATGGGACTTTTCAGCCTGGAAAAGCATAGGCTCAGGGGTGATCTGGTGGCCACCTATAAGTTTATCAGGGGTGCTCACCAGTATCTGGGGGAACGTCTGTTCACCAGAACGCTCCAAAGAATGACAAGTTCGAACGGTCACAAACTCTGCCACGACCGTTTCAGGCTAGACATAAGGAAGAATTTCTTTACTGTCCAAGCCCCTAAGGTTTGGAATAGACTGCCACCGGAGGTGGTTCGAGCACCTACATTGAACACCTTCAAGACACATTTGGATGTTTATCTTGCTGGGATCCTATGATCCCTGCTATGATCCCTGCTGATGTCCGGCCCCTAGGGCAGGGGGCTGTACTCGATGATCCTTCAGTGTCCCTTCCAGCCCGAATGTCTATGAAATCTAGTGTCTCCAAAGCAGAATAGTTTTGTGATTTAGGCCAAAACTAATTTTTAAAAAGTCCAAATTTCCCCTGAACCAAAAATCTGGCTTTTACAGTGAGCTCTGTTTATAGTAGAGCCTTTTGGGTTGCAGGGTGCTTTATAAACATGTAAGATAAGTGCCCTACTGTTTAGAATGTAAAATTGACATGATAATTTGTAGCCAAAACTTGGCAACTTAAACCCTCACTGTAATATTATTAATGAATATGCCCACATAAACAATTATGTTCTTTTCAAAGTAGATCAAATTGGCAGAGAGTCTTAAAAATGCTTTGCTAAAATGCAGTGCATTGGGGGAAAATATAGATGAAAGCTGCATGCAATATGATCCTAAAAAGCCATTGGAAATAAATTGCACATCTTTGCACAATGCTTGTTTGTTGAGTGGATGTGGTATATCTTTCTGAACATTTTCTACTTAGCCTGAAATATGCATGGAACTACAGATAAGTCATTGTTCGTAGTCAGGAATTTACAGGCCCCATTAAAATGAAATATAATGATGGAAGGTGACATAGGGCTTGCCTATATTTGTGAAGTGCATAGATTTAAACCGGTTGTGCAATTTTAAGTTTCCCTAACCCATGTTTATATTCTTCAGGCTTGTGTTCCTAAATTGTCAAATTAACTTACATCCACAGACACAAATTTTAAAAGTTTTAAATTAATCTGTTTTAGGGATTTGAACTGGCATAGTTATGCCAATATTTTAGACAGATTTAACTAAATAGGCTTCACATTTTGTAGAGGGAAAGGGGAGAGGAGCAAGAACTGCCTCCAAAAGCCCAGGTGGTCATTTAGGTTAATAACACAGCCTTCTTGAGAATTATGCATTTTTTTCTTTGGTAGCTACTGTAGTGATAATAGGGTTAATATTTCCCTCCTGGAAGAAGTGTGTAATAAACTGATGATTTGAGAGGTTGCAAACACAAGGAATAGAGTCAAGAAGAGCATAAGGAATCGCACAGAAAGAGCTCAAGAGCAGGAGAAGGGGAGATACATTTATATATAGTTCCTCATGCAGCTGCAGTTAAGGCCATGTTTTGATTTGTCATTGAGCTGTTTCATTTCTCTTGAGGTTAAAATTTTCTGTGTGGGGCCTGAGCAGAAACTTTTTTCCTTGTAAAAAAATAGTCTTGGATTGTTGTAGGAATGTTAGCATGAGACGCAATCTGGTTTTGGACGCTTTGCTGTCTATGTCCTAAATACATTTTTTTTAAATAGATTTTGGAAATTCTGTACATTGGAACTCTCTCGCTCTCTCTCTCTCTCTCTCTCTCGGTCGTCTTACAGAATCTGAATTTAAGAGCAGTAGTGGGTTTATTTTCTGAAAACTCTTTTTGCATATGGACAGCGGTGTAACCTCCATGGATTTCCTGGGATTTGACCAGTGTGGTTAGTGTGCACGTTCAGTTGCAGATGGCAGATGCTTCAGCGTGTGCCAGAATTCCTTGCCCTGTAGTGTCTGCAGGCAAACCTTGAAATAACAGAGCAACCTGCCATGTCCTCCTCAAATGAAGTGTGTATTCTTGGTCTGAAAGAATAGTTGGGAGCTATAACTGAAGTTGGGAATAACTAGTCTTTATAAAAGCTAGGCTCCCTCACGCACATGAAAGCAATAAAACAACTCTAATTAATTAGACAAGAGGGTTTTTATGTACATATGCTGATTTTGGCAATCCACACTAATGATAAAGTAAATTATAGTTCCATGGGGTTCTGATGTTTGTCAGCTTTAACACAGAGATGGCACGAGATCTTTAAGTAGACAGATTTAATCCAGCGTCTCATCCCATTCATCTCTCCTTGCAGTGGAATTAAATTTTTAATGAGTTACCAAAAAAAAAAAAGTCGTTCCTTCCAAAACTAAAGAAAAATAGCTGTGTAAAAATTAATTAGTATTTTGGAGTATTTGAAGTTTATAGTAGTGGAATATTTTACTTATGCCAGCCAGCCACATAAGCTGTAAATTATTCCCGCAACAATTTTTTGCAATACCTTGGCAGACAGCCTTAATTTTTTTCCACAGCACACTGGAGCCATCAAAGCTTTTGAAAGGCTAGACGTAATTCAGGCTTTCTCTTAATAGTAGCGACATTAGCTAGCTAAAGGCAGTAAATACAGCTTGCACATGTGGGCAGCCTGCAGCAACTTCCTGACTCAGCAGTGCTACGTGCCATTTCAGATCTGGATGTGAAGTTTGATTTTGGTGTGTTTTTGACCCAGTGTTGTTAAATCCAAACAGCATTGGGCATTGTGTGCATCACCTGAGAGCTGTAAGGTAATTCAAAAGGAAGCATCTTCAGTTGTGTCCTACGTGAGTGTATTTTATGTGAAAGGAGAACCCAACTTGTACACAGTTGCATGGGCAAAATCAGTAACTGGGGTATTTCTAGGTGCACGGTTTTGTTTGCACCTGTCAAGGCACATCCCTTCATATACAACTTAAGCATTTAGCTGACACTTAAGAGTGTTTCTTTTAAAGAGAACAGACCATAGTGAAACCACGATGTCTTTTGCACTTGCCTTCTCTTGTTATCAACCCTGAATACTTAGTTTAATGATTCCACTAAGTTCCCCCTCACTCCTAAACAAAACTTATTAGCTAAGATCTGATTCCAGTATTTCTGTCTCTGGTGCTGATGTAAGTGACAGCACAACTTGATTTTTTTAAGAACCTAGGTGGAGTTGGTAGCACTGGTAGTTAAAAGATCTTTTTTTTTGTCAGTGAACTGAGCATTAGTTGTGAACATATCTGAGAGAGAATAATGAAGTTTCTCAGTGACACTTTTTTTAAACAAAGGTAATCTTTCTATAGTGTAATTGCACTTGAAAGCTGGGTTGTCCAGTGTTTAAGAAGAAGTGCCATTTTTGTTTACTTCTAAAAATTGTTTTCAACAGCAAGTGATATTACTGGACACACTTCAGTAGTTATAACACAACAGGTGTCATTGAGCCTTATGTTTAAATGTGCTTGCTTTGGGCATTTTAATAACCTGCAGTTTACAGTTTAATCACTGTCTTGACAAGCAGCTGTAATCTAGACAAAAATGACTTTACGTGACAACTGCTGAGCATCATTAATCAGTCTGCCCTGGGTTTACTTGCAGGGACACTGATGAATTACGAAGACCAGAAACACTAAGTTTGTTGCAGGACAGAGAGCGACACCAAGGACTAAGGAGTTACGTGGACAGAGCAGAGAGGTAGGGAAGAGAAGCATGTAACTACTGCATCTCTTTGCTAATAGGTGTGATGATCAATTGGTTTTCTACGTGTGAAAGAACTAAAAAGTTCTTCGACTCCCTTTGGTAAGACACTCAGTGTTCACGCATTTCTGACTATGGCTGACTATTAAGCCAGATTTCATGCTCCCATCCATACATCTCCAGCTGGATAAGAGCATAGCCTTTACACTTGAACCACAACATAGACCCATCATCAAGCATCTGTAATACGATTGGCAATTATTAGATCATTATTTGGCACTAGAACTTAACCGCTTGTGGGTTAGTTCACAGAATGGTTGTACTATTGACAAGGGTATCTTAGTATTGTTGGCAGTTGATGTTTGAAGAATAATCTAGTTCAAGAAAGATGTACTTATTCTATGTTATATGGCTGTCTTTTTATTTGTCAGAGCCCCAGCTGATTCATCTTACCATCTCTGTCTGTCAAACACCCACAATCAGGTAATACCCTGTATTCCTTAATTTTTTGCCTTTCTTTTTTTGTGACAAACTTGGTCAAACTTTCTCTTAGCCAGTTGATTCACATCGGCATGTGCTGCATCTCTGTGATCTGCCTGCTTCTCCTTCACTAGCTATCTGCAGTCTTTCAGCCTAATGCATTCCCTTTAATACACAGTGGTTTTGTTCCAGATGTCTAATACAGATGCAGACATTCACCGAAGGCGAGAGCACTTAGTGGAGCGCACTCGGCGAGAGGCCCAGCTTGCAGCACTTCAGTATGAGGAGGAGAGGATAAGAACAAAGCAGATCCAGAGGGAGGCTGTCCTTGACTTTGTCAAAGTACATAGCTTTCATGAAGTCTAACACGTATCTCTCCAAGGCCTTCAGTAACAGTGAAGTGTGGGCATTGTTGTCCAACATCTCTCACACAGCTATAGGGTGACCTACACTTTATACAAAAATGTCTCATCTGTTTTCACAAGATGCAGTCTGTAGGACCTACAGTGCGATGCAGGGAAAAATAAAATAAAATTGAACAAGTAGGGAAAAAGTTTGCACAAGGCACAGGTCTAAGGTGTCTTTTTTGCAGGATGGGCAGTTGTGTTCGTTCTGTTCCTCCTGTAGATGAGGTTGGCATAAGAAAGAATGGCTCCTTGTTAGATTACGGAACAAAGGGGATTTTGAGGAAGGTTTTGGCAGATGAGGAAGTGGCTTTCCCGATGAGGCAAATGTAGTCTGACCAATTTCCACACCTTAGATTTATCTTAGTGTTTGCATCCAGCTGCTGTTAGGATCCACACCAGCTCTGCCTGGAACAGGGAGTGAGAGATGATGCAGTTACACGTTGTGATTTAAGGGTGGCCTGCAGTGGAAAGGCAGTTGTGCTGTTTTGCTTTTCTGTGATCTGTGCAGTTGTTTTAAGGAATGGATTTTAGCTGACTGTTTTAAAACACTGCTTTCCATTAACACCTCTTCAGTTCAAATTCCTGGCAACTTGTTGGAGAAAAGCTGCCTTTGTTGAAGATTCAAATCATCCTTTCAGCTGAAGGCTTCTTTGCATTCTGTGTACCAATTGTTCATTGTCAAAAAAGTTTTCATTTAGTTGCCCAGTATTTGTGAGCAGATAGTTATTTTCAGCCACAACTTTTTTCTGTAATGGGTTTTAGGGTTACTATGTTGCTTTAATCTAGACATCCATTTTTTTTTAATGGTATAAAAGTTTACCCAAGACTGACAGTATTTGCTAAATTTTAATGTAATGGAAACTTGAAATTTCCCCACTGTCTGTTTTATTTAAAATTAAGGCTTCCAGGGATTTAGAATGTTTCCAAATACCACTGTGTTGTTCCATGTTTATGCTTGTCTGTCACATCCTATTAACTCCAGTGTTTCTCCCCACAGCAAAAGGCATCCCTGAGCCCTCAGAAGCAAAGTCCTCTTGATAGTGAGGTAATGGCAGCATGGCATATTAAGGTGTTAGCTAATTTTGAGTGATTGTGCTAAAAAAAATCTGTAAGAAACATTTTGCTGGTTGATATTCTTCATCACTTAGTAACTGCATGGTTTTCTTTAATCTAAACCGTTGCAATTCTGTTAGTTACTTATTATGCTAGTTTTGTATTTTTCCTTTTGTTTACTCTATGATCATCTCTGTACTGTGGGTTTGCTTTATTGTGTTGCTTTTGA